CGTTGATGGCAACAACATCTACTTTGCCAGAGTTAAAAGCAGCCCTGGTGACCAGGCGCCCAATACGGCCAAATCCGTTGACTCCGACCTTCACCATCTTGTCTCAGGGATGCGGCTGGTACTGCAAGAGAAGCTGCGGCTGCCTGTCGAACGGGGAGGAGCAGAGAGCCCCTCACAGTCAGTCTTGATAATAATTATTCACTATTGTATCACAAGAGACCTATTCACATTTCCTTTCTATTTTTGAGTACATTGGATACTACTCAGTGGAGATTCTACTTTCCTCTACGCCCTCTGGATCTAGGTTCTCTCTTGAAAGCTGTAAGCCAGTCACTTCTTGCCTTTGTAAACCCCAACCCCACCCCCCCTTTTTGGGTAGCCAATGTCCAAGTTGCCCATCCCTGTCTACTCTGTGTATGGAGGGGGTGGGAATGATACTGTAAAGATTTGTTCCCTCTTTTGAGCTACTGCATCCATAGGTGTAGGTCAAGTTCATAAAATTGTATCAGATTACTCTTGTTTTCCTCTTCTTTCTTCTTCTAGTTGAGCTCTGATCATCCAGTCATTGAAGTCAGGTCAAGTGGGTATTATCTGCAAGTGTGTGTGTTCTTAGGCATATGCCCTTTCTTACCATCTAGACACTTCACTCTCCACTCTAGTCCTCTGTGGCTATGCCACTGACTCTGGGCCCAAGAGTCCTCAGGTCTTGCCACACTGCTGGCCAACCAGGTCTCTACCCGGGTTCACAGGAGTCTATTGAACATTGTAGGCTTAGCTCGCAGCTTCATTGCTGTTTTTCCCTCACTTTCCCTTTTCAGTGACGAACATGGTCACCAATCAGAGCATGTATTCACATTAAGTCTTAGTCCTGGAAGGGGGTTTGCATCTGACCACTTGCCTTGATGTTTCCTTGGCAAGCAACTTGCTTGTTTTTGTAGTAATCAGTAGGTCTGCCTATATTGTTTTGTATTTTTCCTGTTGGTCTTTCTTTCAAGAAGTATCTTCTGTTCTAGCTGCTCAAGGCTGGTTCGCTTGTCCTTTCAAGTGGAAATTTCCCACCCCTGAAGATTCTGGATGCTGTTGAACCACCGATTTTTTGGTTCAAACCAACTTTGTTCTGTTGTTAAGTGCCTTGGAGTTGATTCCAACCCAAATTGGCCCTGTGTAGGGTTTCTCAGGCTCAGCTGGTGAGCTTGAACTGCCGACCTTGAAGTTCAAAGTGACTTTGCAGTCCAGAGCATTAACCCACAGCTCCACACCAGGACTCCAAATAGGATTATAACTACAGGTATAAGGATATACCACACATAATTTTTGGGCAAACAATTTAAACTGTTAACAGCAGGAGTATGTAGCTTGCCAGGGCCTGTGGGCAGCTGTGGCCAATCTGGGTTGTGACTTCAGAACAATGGGGCTCCACAGCTTAAATTTCCTGCAGCAGCCTTGTTGTCAACAACCGACTCCACGGCACATAACAACAACAACAACCCTGGCTTCTAAGGAGCATTCTGGCTTCACTTCTTCCAAAACTGATTTGTTTGTTCTTCTGGCAGTCCATGGAACTTTATTCTTTGCCAACACTGGTGGTGGTGGTAGTGTGCCATGGAGTCAGGTCCAACTCATAGTAACCCTACATAGGGTTTCTGAGGCTGTAAATTTTTATGGGAGCAGAAAGCCTCATCTTTCTCCTGTGGAACAGCTGGTAGTTTCAAACTGCTGAACTTGAGGTTCGCAGCCCGACTCATAACCACTACACTACCAGCGCTCCATTTGCCAATACTACAATTCAAATACGTCAACTCTTTTGTCTTCCTTTTTCATTGTCTAGATGTCCTATGATATGAGGTCATTAAAAACATTATGGCATGGGTCAGGCATACCATAGTCATCAAAGTGATGTCTTTTTTAAAAAAATTTGTATGCTTTTTAAAACTTAAAAAA